CAAGTGGTTGCCTAAGGCTAGAGTGCTATGGGGAGATGGTTGAGGGACACCATAAGAGTATGGGATTTCTCTTGGAGGTAATGGAAATTTGTGAAGGGTGGTGTTGCATACACAATCTGAATATACTAACAAATAGTGAAATGCAAAAAATTTTTAAATTATCTAGAAACCAGAGTGCCCATCATGCCTCAATTGTGGCAAATACATATTTAATTCATCTGAATCCTACAAGGAGGGAGGATCACATAAGAAAGAACCATGAAGCGAACCAAGGAGTCTTATCCCCCCAAGTCAGATTGTCAGATCCCAGACAGATTCCAATTTCTCTATCTAACCTATAAGGCCCCTCCAACCCTTGGCTACTGAATCAAGAGCCTCAAATTCTTGACCATCTTCTACACCTGGTCAGATTTCCATGACCAAAGTCTCTAAGACTATTTACTCCTCTAGGTACTATTGCTCTGTTAAGAAATCTGAAAAGTGATTGAGGATTCTCTCCTATTACAGATGGGAACACTGCCAGCTTATAATAGCCAAATTCTAAATATATATGATCACATATTCCTTTTACATTCCAGGCCTCCATTACTAGGTAAACATCTGCCTAAGTGTGTTTCTTTATTACCCATAGCCAATGCATTACCGATTCAGTCAATTTTTTAAATCTAGCCTTGATTAGACCAGAGAAAGCTACCACTGAACTTCAAGGGGGAGGGGAATTTTCCATTTCCTTATGTTTATTATTGAATCAAGACCTGAGGTTTTGGGGATCCCTGGGTGGCTCAGCGGTTTAGTGCCTGCCTTTGGCCCAGGGCGCGATCCTGGAGTCCCGGGATTGGGTCCCACGTCGGGCTCCTGTGATGGAGCCTGCTTCTCCCTCTGCCTGTGTCTCTACCTCTCTCTATGTCTATCATGAATAAATAAATAAATCTTAAAAAAAAAAGACCTGAGGTTTTGTATTACAATGAAAAATGATCAGATAATTCACCATCCAATGATCCTCAGGTTTATTAGAAACCTGTGAAGGAAAAGAAGGTGGCATCAGATGACCATGTGGCAACACAACTTTTATTCTTAAATTTAAAAAAAATGTATTTATGTATTCATGAGAAACACAGAGAGAGAGGCAGAGACACAGGCAGAGGGAGAAGCAGGCTCCATGCAGGGAGCCTGATGAGGACTTGATCCCAGGACCCTGGGGTCACAACCCGAGCCAAAGGCAGACACTCAACCAGGTTCCCCTATTCTTAAACAGAGTTTAAAAAAAAAAAATTCCAGAAGAGATACCCAGAAGGAGCTTTAAGATTTATGCTTAGTTGAAAAGAAATAATGTGTACTTAGGGGCTGTCCACTTCCCATGCCCCGTCCTCCTGCACCCCCACAACAACCCTGCAGGGTAGACCACCACCTCCCTTAGTTCAGGGACATTAACCAGTGTTTCAGAGCTAGAACTAGACCTCCAGCCTCCATCAGGCCAACTCCGCGGTCTGCACTCTTTCTACTACAACCGTTGCCATTCTACTTGCTTCTCACTCGCCTTGGGAAGTCCCCCCTCTGCTTTAATGGAGATTAAAGATCTTCTATGTTCTATTCTGGAACACTTGTATGGCCCTCAGACTGAGGCGGCCCTCACACCCAAGCCCACCGTGTTGCCCCAGTGGGGCAAGCACACGACCCTTCCCTGTCTGTGAAGCCGAGACCAGCCTGACCCTCCACCTTTGAGTAACAGTAACTCCTACAACTTCTCGCAGTGTACAGAACACTGGGCCTCTAACCCGCACCTGCTCACCAACACAGCCACCTCCCTCTCTCTGGGATGACCCAGAAACAGTCAAGTTATTATGTTGAAAACATCCTCCAGAAGGATCAGAGTCCATCACATCCTTTCAAGGTGGAGATCAAACTTAACCACTGAAAAAAAGAATAGTCGATCCTCACCTCTGCTGAAAAGGTACAGGGAGATCCTCTGCCCCACTCCAGACAAGTTGGTCTATTCTCTGTACCTCTCCACCCCACCCCCTCAAAGTTGCATTTTCCTGCATGGCTCCGACTGCCCACCCTCTTCTTGGTAAGTCCTTCTGCCTCCCTGACCTTCCAGAGCTGCCACTCTATATGATCCTCCTTAACCACTGACCCCATATACCGAGTTGCCTTCATGCAGTTCTGCTCTTAGATAGGTCAACCTAAATAGGTAAAGGAGGGTTTATCTGAATTCAGGTTCCCCCACAGCAGACTCTAACACATGAACCTGAGTGCAATGATTTAAGGAAGTGCTCCCAGGAGAGGAGGGGAAGGAAGACCGGAGCAGGACACGGAAGCCTCAGCCTAATCCCAGGGAGCACTGGAGAGTTAATCAAGCCACAGAGCTGCTTGGCCTTAAAGCCTCCAAGGCAAAAGGAACTAGGCTTCCATACTCCCACAGTCTGTCAATCACTGACTACAGGCTGCCTGGGGGTAAGTGACCCCTCGGACACTTCTGTTTTCTGTACAGCAGCTAGAGGCCAACAGGCAGTGCTCAGAGGAAAGATCAGGGTCAGCCTTCAGAAGTAAAGCTCACAGAAGCCAGGCAAAAGGCACACAAAACGTACCAGAGATCAGAGAAGAGGACACCCAGCAGGTCTGCTGCAAGGTCAAGGTAGAGCCAAATTCACAGGGACACAACCAGTGTAGTTGTACAGGGTCCTGCACTCTGAAGGGGCCCACTCTGCTGTCACCATCTTGAAATTCCTGATGATCTTGCCTTTGACTCGGTTTTCTAACTCAAGTCCCATGGGAGAATGGAGCACACACACTGGGAGCTTCTGTTTCTGGGCAGCCCTGCCTCCCTCCTCCCCAGACGGATTCTCCACAGACTTGGCTGCTCCCTGGTGTCCAGGCTCACCTGCGTGCATGGGCTGGAATGTATGGTCGATGGACTAATACACTTAGTATTAAAAATTAAGATCAGGGCACCTGGGTGCCTCAGTGATTGAGCATATGCCTTTGACTCAGGATGTGACCCCAGGGTCCTGGGATCAAGGCCCACATCAGGCTCCCTGCAGGGAGCCTCCTCCTCCCTCTGCCTATGTCTCCGCCTCTCTCTGTGTCTCTCATGAATAAATAAAATCTTAAAAAAATAAAATAAAATCAGCCAAGAGGTTCTGATTCAAGATGGTGCTGTAGGAAGATCCTGAATTCAACTCTTCCCACAGACATGCCAAGTCTACAGCTACATATGGAACAATTTCCTCTGGAAAGAAACTAGAGTCCAGCTGACCACAGTAAGCAAACAAGGGAAGCAGCATCCACATGGAATCAGGTAAGAGGCTGGGACAGAGCCTCACTATAAAGCCTACCTCTGGCATGGAGACCCACAATCACGGGGGACCTTCTGGGAGAACCCAGAGCTTCCCCCAAAGGGCTAAGGGTTTGAACTCCACATTGGCCAGCTCAACTTTTAAGACCTGTTCCCATGAGACAAGCACCCAAAACATCCAGGAGCTCCCATGAGCCCCCTAAGGTTGTTATGATAGGAGAAACTGCTCTTGAAGGGCCCCTGTACTCCGACTCACTGGGTCAGGGCCCAGCTCAGTGGCAGCCCACATGCCGATGTTGAGTGAAAACAGCTCATTTGCTAATGCTAAGCACCCCCCTGAGCAGCAGGCATCTAATTTAACACATGCAGGAGCCTGCAGGAACACCCTCCAGGACGAAGAACGGGGCGGGGGGGGGTGTAGACATCTTCATGCCCTCCCCCCCGCTGTGTTCCAGCCAGCAGCTCACACCTCCCCCTGCCACACTCCTGAGCACCCCCTCGTCCCAGAAGGGAGCTCTTACACTCAGCTGGCACCCCAGTTCTTATAGCTGCTGCTCTAGAGACCGGGGAGGGGGCAGTTGTTGCATTCTAGGGGTCCCATGGGACTGTAACAATGGGAGCAGGGTTTCGGCAGACAACCCCCCCACCCCAGGGCACTGCCCAGACAGCAGACTGAAATATACTGCCAAGTGTTTCAGTAAAATAGGCCTATTTGTTGGTCTAGGTGCTTTGGCCTGGCGGGGGGCAGGCTTCTGGACTGGCCCACTTTAGAGATCTACAGATGACGCTCTCAGAGCGGAGGCTGGTGGACAGTCTTAGACTCTTCTGGCTGCAACTCCCCGATCTCTTTGAGGAAGCCTTAGATGATTATTCTATTTGCGAGTTTAAAGTAATGCTCCTTCCTCAGACTTAAAATCCTTATATGGCTCCCCATTAGCTTTCAGCATGGCTTCAAAGCTTCGACATGACCTAGCTTCTACCCACCTCTACAGCACCACTCCTCCCTGCCCACCCTAAACTCCTCGGCTCCCTCTCCCAACACAATGTGCCAACCACTGACCCCACATTTTCCTTCCCAAAATCATATTCCAATTTCTAGAATGCCATTCTTCCCACCCCTTACTCTTCTCTCAGTCCATCCAACTTCTTTCAGTGGTTCCCTTTATAGAACCACAATCCTTTCTGAAGTCTGCCTTAGCTAACCACAATCCTTCAGAAAGGACCATTCCCTTTATTCCTTAAACACACATTTCTACCATTCCATCTAGAATACTTCATGAAACGTGTCCATCTTCCCCACCAGTTTAGGGGCTCCTTAGACCAGAAATTTTGTATTCCTCACCTTAGTATTCCCAGTATCCAGCATTGTCCCTGCATAGAACACACACATAGTAAATGTTTCCTGAAGAGTGTTCAGTGTAACTTGCTCGATAACCTCAAGACAGTAGGACAAAGGATATGGGTTCACAGGAACCAAGTCGACCAGAAGACACAAGATAGGCAAGACAGACTCAAGCGTGGTCCCTGGAGAGTCAACAAGGAAGCCACCTTGCCCAAAGTTCTTAATGCAAAGAAAATTCATCCACGTGTTCCAACAGCAACAAGGCCTCCGCTAGCTGCACACGCTCTTGGAGATACAACCTCTCAATTCCAAGCCATTGTGGAGCCCATTCATTCTAAGCACGCGTTCAAAAGTACAACCTACCTGCGCTCCAGCTCTCGAATGGAGAGTATCACTCCTGAAGTCGACGGCTTTTGCTGTACAGTGGCCAAAAAGGTGAAGTCAGTCTTATTCCGGAACAGCTGGATTAATTTCTCACTCACATGAGGGGCTGCATGGATCTCTCTTGCTGTATCTGGGAATCAAGAAGGAAACAGGAGAGGATAAAGAACAAGGAGGAGGAGGAAGAGGAGAAACAGATACAGAAGGAGAAAAGGAGAGAAAAATGTCCAGAGGAACAAGGTTGCATTTTTCATCCATCCCCCCCCCCCCGCCAACTTGCCAATATATTTTGTTTTCAGGCATCGCCCACCACTGCATACAGCAGCATTTATTCGATGCAAAACTCAGGAATGCCGCCTGTCACTGTACCCACTTGTCACTTTGACAAGTTCACAAACGGCCAGCCAGTGATTTTCTGACAAATTTTGATGGGACACTGAGCAATGTGGCCTGCTACAAACAGATTAAGTTGCTGTAAAAAAAAAAAAGGTGAGAGACAATCAGATGAATGGATCCTGAATTCAAAGAATCGTATGTTTAGCAGGACCCAATGCCACTCAGCAGGCTTCTGTTTCACTTTCCCCCCACGGACTCCATTTCTTTCTTCTCTCCACAATGCCTGGAGGGGAAGCCTGTCCTCGCTTGGTACCCAGCAGAGATTTACCCATGTTCGTAACACCAGACAACTCCACTTCTACTTAAATACAAGGCAGGTGCGTGAGCCATAAGGGTGCCTGGAATTTCTCTATCAACATGGAGTGGGTCACTCTGCTCGTGTAATATTAAAGTGAAGGCCAATTCAGCAGGCCTATGAGGCCCACGAGTCCAGCTAATCCTGCTCCTTGTTCTCCAAATTCTACATAATGAGACGTTCATCATTTCATACTCAGACCCTCCCCCCTGACCCCCCAATTGTGATATACTAAGGGTTCTCATTATTTTACACCTTCCTTCCTCAAATCAGAAACTGGCCACCACCAGAGCGGAATTAAAGAAAATTATTCAGAGAATGACTAACGAACTCCAAAGGTGTGTTTGGTTCCTCCACTCATGCCCCGACCTTACTGTCTATAGAACTACTTGGTTATTTCTCCAGGAGTCTGAAAAACAAAGATGTTCAAAAGCTGTGTGACTCAAGGGACATCACAGACTACATGGATCTTGAAGAACCACATCCTAAAGACTGGCTTCTAATGGGGCCATGGAGGGAATCCAATTCCTGACCTTGGGCCTCAGTCTTCTCATCTACAAAATGGTGGGGGGGGGGGGCAGGTAAACTAGGTGACTTCTAAGGGCCTCTCCATCTTTGTATAATTCTAGGAGTTGTTGTTTGAAGTTTGCAGCACAGAAAAAAACACCACAATCTTCCAGCTGTAGAGGTCTCGGCTGTGGAAGGTGGGCAGCAAGGCTGCTCCTCTATCTCGTAGGCACCTGACCCATCAGAACATCCTACCAACATAAGACCTACCTAGGACATTTGCCCTTCTACCCAAAGACCTTCGCTACTCTGTTATGTGGCAGGCTTTTAGCTTTAGTTAAGGGTCAAGAGAAAAGAGCCACTTAGGGAATGCTCCTTCATCTTCTACCAAATCTCAGCCAAAGACATTCTAGAAGAGTCAAGATCTATTAGATGTATGAAGTAATCGCTCTGTACACTAGAGATCAACAAGTGTTTGTTAACATTTTTATTACTACTGGGTACAAATCCTAGAATTTAGTGCCAGGAAAAAAAAAAAAGCAAGCATCCACATTTGGTTCTTGAGATTAACTTTCATGTTTCTTTTTTCCCCTTTCTGCTGTTTCCTCCTTTGTCCATCTACTAGGAACTATCTGATTGGCAGCGGTGACCCAGAAAGCTCACCAGAGGATTCTGAAGCTTGAGCCCAACCCAAAGGGGGCAATGATCGATCAACCATGACATCCATAGCTCTTTCCCACAGCAGGCATATAAATGAGGAGCATCCTCACCTCTAGCTCAGTTCTCTCGGACAGCGACCCAGTTTCATGGCCGAGGACACTCAAGTGCGTATCTACCATACCAATGTCTCCCTTAAGCAACAGACACATTCAATATCCCCAGTATCTCCACGTGAAGGTCTAATAAGCGCTTCAGATCATACAGGCCCAGGACAGAGCCCTTGGTATCCTGCCCCATACAACCCTTGATTTTCTTCAGAAGTTTTCAGGCTTAGTAACCGGAACCACCCAGTTCAAGCCAAAAAGATCAGAACTTGTCCTGGAGGCTTATCTTCTACCCTCCAGATCCAATCCAAGAGCGAATCACAAGGACTCCCACATCTAGAGTCTGTCCACTTCCTGCCAACACCACTCAACCTCCTGTCCAAGCTGCCATCACTGCTCCCCGGGGCACCTCCAACAGCCTCCTGACTGGTCTCCCTGCTTCCATATCGTCTTGCCTTTCTCCCTTCTTCAGAGCAGCCCAAGAGCTCATTTTAACACCTAAAATCAGCATCCTTCCAGTCTCTTGCTAAAAACCCCTCTGTTGCTTCCCAGCCCTCCCAGGATAAAAAATAAAAAATAAAAAATTCCAGGCTTTTTGGCATGGCCTGCAGGGTCACATACCAACTGACTTGCCGACATCTCCCACCCAATGTCACCCCCAAGCCCACTCCTGCCTCAGGGGTCATTGTACTACTCTTTGCCCACAGAGCTCTTCCCTGCTCTCCCACTCCTGGCTCCTCCAGCTCTTACTGCAAACGCAGCCTCCTGGTCACTCCCTCCATTAATGCCCACTACACCACTCTGGTTATTTTCGCCTACCACTTAATTATTCTAATTGTTTTTTTCCTCATATCACTCATGATCTTGTTTCGTGTTTGTTTTTACTAGATTTCCTTTCTTTCCCCTTTAGAGGCTTCCGAAGACAGGGACCTACCTCTTCATTGCTGTCTCCACACAGTCCTCAGTGCCTGACATAAAACAGGTACCCAATAAAGACTCACTAAATTTATTTCCCTTTTATTTTTATCATGTATATTGTTATTTCAAGGAACCACAAGTATGTAGTCAGAAAACAAGAGGATAGCTTTCAGAAAAGACATGGATACGTGTCAAGTGTCAGTGGTTATAAAACGAAAGAAAAGCACGTTCAGAGCCAATTCGGTCCCTCCGATTTACAGGACATCGCACAGTCTAATCCAATACAACCCCAATGCTACTCACCCAACCCCCCTACAAGACAGATCATTTCCTCTGCCAGCTTCTCATTTCTCTTCGTAAATGATTGGCACGTTGAAATAAAGAGACCCCATTAGCACTCACCAGAGTGAAATGTAAAAAACATCTATTTTCATACATGGAGACTTTATGTGCATTCGCATTTTCAGAAAAGCTCTTTCAAGTAAATGCTGACCATAATTCAGCTGCCAAAAGAAAACCAGAAAGTAATTTCACTTCTTACAACAAAGAGGCAGGGATTTTCAAGAGATTGAAGACTACCAAGTTTTACAGGTAACTAGTTGTGTGACCTTGAGTAAGATGCTTTACCTCTGAGCCACACACACCCTGTATCTGAAGATGGAGAAGACTGGAGGAGATCATAGGGTTCGAGTTCTTTCCAGGCCTCAACATTTTGTTTCTGTTCATCACCTTACCCTGCCCTATCCCATGGCCACCCAGCCAAGGATGGGACTGAATGTGTTTTCTACATATGAAACACCTTGACTCTACAATTTTTCTCTTCTGATTTTCCAAATCAACGTAAAAGTAAAGTCGCTCAATTACTGGAACCAGTGATAATAGGTCACCTACTTTGCAGTCGCCTGTTTTTTTCTGGAGTTAAATGAGCAACCGCTAAAAGCAAATTAATGAGAATCTGTAGTGACCATCCTCCTGCCACATGCAACCATTATGATGTGCTTGCTGGATTGTTAGAGGATGTTCAATTCTTCCAGGGAGAACAAGAAAAACCTGTGGGATGAATAAAGCTCATAGGAAGTGTTAAATCTAGACATCAAGTTAGAAACCTGTGAAACGTGCTCAATGTAGATCAAATACATGAAACATGAAACCTAAGTGTGTTGAACACAGAAAGGACTGAATAAGTATGTGACCTAGAGACAGACTGGGGTAGGAGAATCAAGTCCTAACATACAAATCATACCACCTTCAAAATGACACCTGGGCCATCCCTAAATCAGATACCTAGCTTTGACACTCACTCCATTCCCATTCTGGCCCCACGTGTACTCTGCTGGAGAAATGCTAATCAAACCCATCACTCACCAGGCTGATTGGTACCTGCATCTGGGGCCAGGAGTACTTGCCCCTCCAAGAGTGGGAACACCTTGGCATTAAGCACCTCCCATCTGCTGAACCCCACCTCAGTCCACTTAACCACTGCATCAGCAAAGAAACTGATGGAGCCAAGACTGAACACATGAACAAGGCAAGACCCAGGAATCCAGTAGGGTGGCCCGTCCTTCCCCCAGCCCAGACCCTATCCCACTCCATTTCTTTCCCCTCCTTCCTCCTGGACGGTTTGGATTTATTTAACAAGCTGCATGATTCAAGCATCTGAATTTGGTCGGTGAAGCCCTTCTGTGACCTCCGGGAGCATTACTTGGAGGCTACCATTGCATGAAGGTAACTGCCCACATAACCACCACTGACAGTGAACATCTTACATGAAAAAAAAAAAAAAGTCACTCCAAACATCCAGAAGTTTTAGGTCATGTAGTTAGGAAGTGCTAAATCAGCAGCAAGAGTTAAGTGCTTTTTCTTTCCTAGGATGAAACTGTTCTAGTCATTTTTTAAAGACCAGAAATGCTAATGTGATGATTAAGCATCAGTTAAAAAAAAAAAAAGTCTTGGGTGAAAGGAGGAGACTGAAGGAATTAAATGATGATATTCACACACTCTTCCCTGCCGGACACAGGAGCAGCTTCACTTCCCTTTGGCCTGATGACAGGGTGAGGATCGGTAAGGATTTTCATCGTCCAGCGTACCTGTGTGTCCTCTGTGCCAGGCAGTGTGCTTGCTGGGCACCAGGGAAGCCGGGCTGAATACAGTTCCTGCCCTTGAGAACTGTAGCTGCAGAAGCGAGGCTGTTACCTAGGAGGGCAGGTAGAGACGGGCAATGCACGAAGGAAGGAGCGGCCAGGGGAGACTGCA